TACATATACATATACATATATATATACATATACATATACATATACATATACATATATATATACATATACATATACATATACATATACATATAGCTCAAAAGTGATGTTGAACGCTTCGAACCAACAACAACAGCAAAAACGACGACAACAACAACAACAAACAACAAACAACAAACATTAAACAACAAACAACAAACAACAACAACAACAACAAACAACAACAAACAACAACAAACAACAACAAACGACAACAAACGACAACAAACGACAACAAACGACAACAAACGACAACAAACGACAACAACCAACAACAACCAACAACAACAACAACAAACAACAAACAACAAACAACAAACAACAAACAAAAAACAACAAACAACAAACAACAACAAACAAAAAACAAACAAAAAACAACAACAACAACAACAAACAACAACAAACAACAACAAACAACAACAAACAACAACAAACAACAACAAACAACGACAAACAACAACAAACAACAACCAACAACAACCAACAACAACCAACAACAACCAACAACAACCAACAACAACAACAACAACCAACAACAACAAACAACAACAAACAACAACAAACAACAACAACCAACAACCAACAACAACAAACAACAACAAACAACAACAAACAACAACAAACAACAACAAACAACACCAACCAACAACAACAACAGCAGCAGCAGCAACAACAAACAACAACAAACAACAACAACCAACAACAACAACAACAGCAGCAGCAACAACAACAACAACAACAACAACAACAGCAACAACAACAACAACAATAACCACCAATACTACTACCAATATCAATAATGATAAGAAGACCATGTCTCCATTTTCTTATATAAATCCTTATAGTCCAATCCAATCCAATCCTTTATGCAGCATCTCCAAGCTGCCCGGCTCGTGCAGCAGTACTTGTGGTACTTCCACCAGCCTCTCCTGGACCTCCACCTGCAGTGCGGATCAAGGCTGAGGTTTCCCATTGAAAGAATGATGGTTTCATTCCAAAGAAAACTATGGGAAGCTTCACTTGTAAACAAAAACTCTGGTAAGTTAACACAGCTATGAAAATATGAAAAATCACCGTGCTTATTAGGTGAATCAATGTAAATCATCTACCAATGGGTGATGTTCAGCAGCTATGTTGGTTTGGAGGATAATCATCAGCAACATTATTGGTGATTGACACTGAAATTGGCTCATAGAAAGGAATTTGACTTAATCACCTCAAAAATGAGATGTGATCAGCAAAGAATCACCCAAAGATGGATTAAGCAATGAACAAAATCAGATGATGCAATCAGTCTAAAATTCTCATTCCATGGTGAGAAATTCGATGCTTCATGTCATCAACAGGGAGGATGTCAAAAAACAGGGAGATGCCCCTTGGTGGGATGATAGTTGGAAGATAGTTTCAAATCTGCACCAGGGAGCCTTGGGCACGTCCACGGTCTTCTCCACATACTCCACCTGGCAGCTTTTCTTGGGAACTGTACCATATATGGGGGATTGATCCGTTCAAAAAAGGAGGTTTTACCATCCAAAATGGAGCTTTAACCATGCAAAATGATGCAAAATGGAGATTTTACCATCAAAGAAATCTGGGAGAAATGACATCAGGTGCTTTCTTTTAGCCCAGTCCATGGATCCAAGACCAGGTACAAACCTCAAACGACCTTCACATCCAATGTCCCTCTGAATGGTCCGGTCCCAACTTTGAAAAATCCACAGTGCAGTCTGAAGTGACTTTCATTTGCTTACCCTCCTGTCACCAAACATGACAATGGAACATCCCCTACAAATGGAAGAGTTGGGGGAAAATCATCTACAAATGTGTGATTTTCCCTTGCCATCGATTACAAGAGGTTAAACAGTGAAGTTCAAACCGCCGCGTACACGGTGCAAAACCTTTGCAATGATCCTGACATGATCAAACCAGCTTCCCAGGAGATCACCATCCCCATCTCCATCCAGTGCACCTGAGGTTTCTCTCGGTAAATCGTGTGGAGTTCTCGTTTCCTCACTGGCACCTGCGCAGGTAGCATCAGGCACGAATTTTGCATGGGAGCTGCTGCCATTTTTTTCAATTACATGTAGCGCCTCCCGGACAACCTCCTGAATCAGAGGAGCCTAGGTTCAACTTTGAACCTCTCCCTCATTTGGACCTGATGTTCTCTGATGTTGGGCTGAAACACTCCCATCTTGACCCATCTAAGCTCACCACCGCCGCTTGAAAGGTGGCTGTGCCACCATAGCTCAAAGGCTGGGGCATGGCCGACCGAACTGGTGGCGGTCCCGGTCCTGGCATCCGCAGGGGTATGGGCATTGTCTCTCCGGCCAGCGCCTGGCACAGCGGGAAAAAACAACGTGGTCCAAGGGTGACAGGTTGACTCAGTTGGTTTATACATCCATATCATATTTATACATATGTTCATCTTCTTTCTAACATATATATATATATATACTTATAATATATATATATACAGTATACATATAATTTGTATATTTAGAGATTGGCTGAGATTTAAAGAAACAACTCAGGAACAACCGTGTCACGACTTTTTTGAAGCAGCTCATATATTGCTGTTCTTCGGGTCGTCTTTGCGTACCTTTGTTGACTCCAGTTGGATCCATCTTGGTGGATTCAGTGGTTTAAAAATAGCAACAGCTAATCTAGTTTGATAATGATAGTGATCATAGTGATGATAGTTTAGTTAATCACTATAATTATAGTAAGATGGTAATCATTAATCACTATAGTGGCAATCTAGTAATCTAGTTTAGTTTTAAAATGATAATGATGATAGTGAAGAAAATCCTCCACCGCACCGGCTCGGCCATCGTGGGTGCAGAGCTTCGGGGAGATGCCTCCGTCAGCATGGAAGAATGCTATGGATCGACAAAAATGGGAATATGATCTGGGATTGTATGGCAACATACCACCATTATTTATAGAATATAAATAAACATATGTATAATATTGTATGTATATACAATTATATACATATATATGTGTGTGTGTGTTTGTTTAGATAAATCCATTGAAAAGCATCAAAAGCATGAATTTGAAGCTGCGCAGATGGCTCCGTTGGACATTTCCATGGCGCCGCGAAGTCGGCCTGAACTCCAGATGGCTCCGCCATTTGGATCGCCTGGACGGCTGCCGAGCCAAGCATCGATCATAGGTTTGCTGCTCCAAGCTGAAACAGCCATGAAGCATCAAAACATATCAAAACTCTAGCAGAAAACGATGGAAAACCATGGAAAACATCCAAGTATTCAGTGTGAGCATACCTCATGAAGCAATATGAAGCATGCGCACGCTTAAAACCCGCTGACTTAACACGTCTGAGGCATCGGTTAGGGGGTAAATCAGGGCAACAAACAACACATCTGTCAGAACAACCACTGAAAACTTAAGGTAATACACCATGAGCAGGTTTGCATTCTGAAAATTGCAACACAAGTTTGCTGTGACCACATTAAATAGTGAAATGCTCAGACAGAACCTGATTTTTTTTGCACAGGTACTGGGTTTCTTGTTCACTTGGCAAAGGTGTCGCAGCATTTTTGTGCCCTTTTCACAAGGCCAGGTTGGAGCGTGGTGTGGGGCCTGCGCTCTTGGCTGTCCATAGCTGGTGGCCTCCGCTGCAATCAGCAACCGGAGAGATCGCAACCGAGTAACAGGGGTTACCCCTGGACCCTCTTGGGGGTTGTCCGACAATATTGAAAAAACCTCCCCAAGATCCAATTTTCATCAATTTTCCAATGTCTTATCACCATGCTTCCTGTGAAAAATTGCGATATTTGGGGATAGATGCCCTGTTTTTGGCAGAAACCCTGAAGGTTACAAGGTAAGGAGCCTGCAGGATATCTGGGATGCCATCTCTGTTGCGGTCCACGCCCTCGACGTAGACAGCTTGACCTCGTGTAGAGAGGTACATCTATGTGGATTCAGTTGTACATCCTTTATGTATACACTTATAACTTATAACTTATAACTTATAACTTATAACATATAGTACATGTATATAATGTTATACATAGTACGAGCACACTGTCTAAAATACATGTCTATGATTGTCTATGTATTGAAAAAAAGGTGATCATAATTACATATAAATAGCCCATCCCCGTCCATGGCCATTCGAAACAGGTTCCACTGAGTTGCTTGCCATCCTGATTCAAGTCCAGGCCGACTCGCGCCACTGGTTCTGCCTGAGCTTAATGGGGATGATATGTAACCAAGCATATGATTCTAGGGGTGTGCCTGAAAATGGGCCGTACCCAATATCGTATATACAAAATTATACATATATACAGTAATCATATATATATATACGTATATACACACACACTTCAATGGAGGAAAATGATGATAAATCATCAATTGTGGGAGGTTTTCCCAAAAATCTCAGACCCATCTCACCATGTCGGCACCACTGAGCCGCTGGGCCAGAGCTACAGGCCTTGGATGCAGCGGGATGAGCAGTGAATCTGTTTCCTCCAGTCGCTCCTTCCAGCTATCCTGTAAGGATCCCCACTCCATGGTGGCCCCTTGGCGCCTAGAAACCCCCGAAAGCTGGGTAAACTCTGCTGGCTTCAGCTTCAGCTTCGGCTGGATATAAGTTGCCAATTGGTAGATCTTCAAATCATCCCCCAGATCATTTTGCCTCTGGTCTAGTACTCGCCCTTTTTTACGGGGCTATATGGTGAATAGTTCATATCCAGGGGATGGGATTACTTACTTTTTTGGGCGTCATGGGGGCTTCTGCGGCCTGGTACTCCACATATGTCCTTCATGGGGCCAAGTGTGGCTGCGGTGCTGATAAGAGGACAGAATGAGCCGCAAGAACCAGCCAGCATGGCAAAGGAAAATCCATCATCTTTAATAATTTCTCCATTTCTAACTGTGACTAAATGGCGGTTTTCCCTGACGTAGCATTGCTTGTTGGTACCATAGCCATATTCGAAAAGAAACAACCAGCAGTGGTGCCATGCGCCGCTGCACCACTGCCATTGTTTTCCAAGCGTAGCCACCTTGAGCTCTCTGCATTTCTGGGTGTTGGCCCAGGGAGGACACTTTCCAAATCAGCTGATGACTACCCAATCTTCAGAATGGCTTCTTTATCCTCCGTCTATGCCAGCAATCCATAGCAATCCATGGCGATGGAATGTGATGGACTGGCTGGAAGTCAGCTTTGCGCCGGGGGTTGTAGGCACTTGCAGAAACTGAAGGAACATGGGATTAGGTTTCCCAACGTTGAATCGAGTTGTTGAGTATCTTCATAGACTTGCTGCAAATCTTCAACAAACTGCGCAAAGAATTTGTATGGACAAGTTCGCTAATTATGGTGAAAGTTTACATATGACTATGATCGTTTGATGCCATACGATCCTATATCAGGCCCAATGTCAGCAAACCGAAAACCAAATCATCACTCTTGTGGAAATCTGTGGGAAGGTGGCTATCTGGGTCCCTCGTCTCTGCAGGCCCCTTTCGATGAACATAGAGTACAAGAAGCAACTGATCGGCAATGCCCCTCATCCAGTGCAACTTCAAGACACCTGCAGGCAAAGGGTCAGAACTCATCAGCAGCGTCATGGTCTGCAGTTCAACTTACAGTATCTCGAGGTAGAAGAATGCGTCAACTTCCACAAATCTCCAGGTTTGAAACTGATCCCATTAAAATACAAAATCCTGCCAAACCCACACACACACACTAGACAAGAATGGATCTTTGAATAGATCCGTCAGGAACTGAGTCCTGTAACATGCAAACCAGCCTAGACAATGAGACCTAAAGTAGATTCCCTGGTAGTACTTCTCGAAACCGATATAAGTCGTCTGATGATGTCGAACGGAGTCCAAACCAGATTCCAAAAGGTTGAATAGGATCATCATGTTGATAACCAAAAAGTAATGTCAACGGCGAAGTAGGGTCGGCGAGGTTTTCCAGAATGATAAAAAAAATACATCGGCGACATGGTTTCGGCAAAATACCAAAAATAATCAAAAATACCGTCGGCGACATGGTTTCGGCGAAAACACAGATTGTGGCAACCGTGAAGAAATACGGTCATTGTGAAAAGGACAGCTTGTTCAACAGTTCTTCAAACTGAGTTCTGCAGGTACAGGGAGGTGATCAGCCTCCCCTTCCCACCAATGGCAATAGCTTCGTTGCGTGCAGTATGCCAAAGGTGCTGCACGCCCCTGCGATCGACTAAACCAGTAGTCTAAACATCTACGACTCCAAAAACCAGCGATCTAAATAGGAAAACAGAACGTGATTCCAGAAGTTTTCATCTCTTCAGATGTGTCACACACACCCTGCCGAAGCAGGGTTACTTTTTTGGAAGAACCGAGAGGTGCCATTCTATGATACATAAAACGGGTATACCGTTTTAGTGTGGATACTACCGTAAGGATCCAACGCTGCACTGAGGACAACTGGTTCAACATACGAGAGCTGTATCATCAAACAGCTTTCGTTGGTTGCGGATGATGTCGTTGCTGTCGTATAGATGACACATGCATATCTAAAAAAACATGCAACTGCTACGACAACATTTATTTTTTTTACATCTGCAAAAAGAAATATATTTGCAGAAGAAAAACCAAAAAAATCTTTTTCAAGTCGTATTTATGCTTTAAATGCTGAAACTTTCAAACGATAGCGGTCAAAGCATTCTGCAAGGCATCGACGCTTCCGTGCCAGGCACGAAAGTGTCACTTTGTAGCACGCTCAGCTGTCGTAGAGCAAGGCACAAAGCGCTGTCGTCGGAAATATTGATTTTCAAAAGAAATTATATATACATGTTGAAAAGTTTACAAAAGATTTTTCGTAACAAGTGAAGTTTTGAAGAAATGAAGAAAATTTGAACTGGCGTTAAATGCTGAAACTTTCAAACGATAGCGTTTAAAACATGCTGAAGGCATCGACGCTTCCGTAGCAGGCACGAAAGTGTCACTTTGTAGCACGCTCAGCTGTCGTAGAGCAAGGCACAAAGCGCTGTCGTCGGAAATATAAATTTTCAAAAATAATTTTATATGCATGCTCAAAAGTTTAGAAAAGATTATATTCATAACAAGTGAAGTTTTGAAGAAAATTTGAACTGGTGTTAAATGCTGAAACTTTCAAACGATAGCGTTTAAAGCTCAGCTGTCGTATAGCCCAAGTTGCAAAGCGCTGTCGTCGGAAAGATAGATGTCAATTTTATATGTAAAAGTTTGCACAATTTTTTCCTTAATAAATGTTTCAAGAAATTTTGAAGAAAGTTTGTATTGGCGTTAAATGCTGAAACTTTCAAACAATAGCGTTTAAAGCATTCTGAATGCATCGACGCTTCCGTAGCAGCCATGAAAGTGTCACTTTGTAGCACGCTCAGCTGTCGTGGCACAACGCAAAAAGCGCTGTCGTCGGATAAACATATTTCAAAAAGAATGCATGTTTCAAAAAAAGTTACCAAACAAAATCGTACCAAATGAAATAAACTTATAGAAGAAATTTTGCATTGGCGTTAAATGCTGAAACTTTCAAACGATAGCGGTCAAAGCATTCTGCAAGGCATCGACGCTTCCGTGCCAGGCACGAAAGTGTCACTTTGTAGCACGCTCAGCTGTCGTAGGGCAAGGCACAAAGCGCTGTCGTCGGAAATATTGATTTTCAAAAGAAATTATATATACATGTTGAAAAGTTTAGAAAAGATTTTTCGTAACAAGTGAAGTTTTGAAGAAATGAAGAAAATTTGAACTGGCGTTAAATGCTGAAACTTTCAAACGATAGCGTTTAAAACATGCTGAAGGCATCGACGCTTCCGTAGCAGGCACGAAAGTGTCACTTTGTAGCACGCTCAGCTGTCGTAGCACAACGCACAAAGCGCTGTCAGGGGGCAACGCTCGAAACTCAACAATGTTCATCGCATTCGATGTACAGTTGACGTCACCACTTTTGGCTCAAGATGCAAAAAAAACATGGCAAACAGCTGCTTGTCAGAGGAAATATCATTGCTTGCATGATAGCAGTGAAAAACAACATGGCTTGAAGCCAATGCTAGCTTCAATCAAAATAAAACAGTGGGCACTGACAGAACAGTTGCAACAATAACCAATGAGTGATTGAATGTTCACCACATCCTTCTGCTCATATTTGGGAATCATGTTAGTTTTAGACATGATTTTGTGGAAGATAGATAAAAGGGTGGGTATAAATATATGTATATGTGTGTGTAAATGGTGTATATTCATGGACTCAAACATATATGTGGATTTGCTATACACATATGTTGGTTCACAGGGTTTCCATTATTCGGCTTGTAATGTTGAAATTCAATGATAAAGCATCATATGCAGAATCCGAACAGGAAATAGACATAATCCCATGATGCATGAAGACCCTTCTGGGGACTTGTTTGATATGTGTATATATATATATACAGATGAAAATCTGAACCGGAAACCATGGTTTTTACCATCAAATAAAGGGGTTCCCCGTAAGTTTTCAATTCATCCAATTCTATGATAATTATATATGTGAATAACGCAAGTGTTTTTTTTGAAAGCCGAAACTCTTTTCCAAGGCGAAATTCGGAGATTGGGATTCTACCGTTAAAATCGATGAACATGGGGTGAAAACTCCTTGAGAAGCACTTGCTCTGTGCCGCCCTGTTTGAACAATGGAAATCCATAAAAACCGTGATGAAATAAAGGGAAATCCCATAGAAATATAGGGGAATGATTTTAAATCATTTGAGAAGGGAGGATTTTTCATCGCTAAGTGTGATTATCACAGGGAAATAAAAAATCAATAAATAGGTAATTAAATAAATAAATGATCAAACAGTATATATAAACATCGGGGTACATAAAACACTCCCACCACTTTGGTTGCCCAACAATCACGCGCTGTGAAATCCAATGGTTGTGGCCGGCGCATCAACCGCTTCATGTGGTTCAAAAAGGGTTTGTCTCAAAAATACAGGCATTCCCAAAACCCATATGCTTATCACCACTTGTGAGGTGTAAAAAGTGAAGTGTGGTGGTAAAACCTATTTTTGAGACAAACCCAAATCAACGAGTCAACGCATGAAATTGGAGTGTCAAAGTACAACCTCTTTGTTTTTCAAGCACACGCCCAGTGTAGTCAATCGCCCTTGACATCTCGCCAGCGAAGACTCAGAAACATCAAGTATCTTTGGTAGATACGAGTCAAGACAGAGGAGGCATGACATTTCACACCTATCTGTTTCCAATACCCCAAAAAACTTTCATCACCAAAGCATTGCATTACCCTTCTAGGGTTTAACTTTGTTCGGGCGGTTTGCGTCCGAGTATGGTCGCATTGGTGATGTTTGGGCCTCAGTTTGAAAAGTCTCAAGGCCTTCCCCTCACAAATGGCTGCCAAATGCTGCCACGCGATAAGATGGATCTGGATGTAGTCATTGAACTCCTCCGTCAAATGATCTTGGCCCCTGAAAAATAGGTTGAAGGGCTGAATGAATTCCAACATCAATGTTTGGGAAGAGGGGGGCATGTAAACCACATAAAATCAAAAGGTGATTTGGCATGTTGAAGGGTCTGAACAGAAAACACCTCTTCTGGACATGTTTTTTGACACTATTATGTCAACAGATGACTGATGTTTCAAAACAATGCCATATTTGGGGGAGTGTTTTGTGGCTCCTTAGCATCCTCATCACGTAAGAGAATGTCAGCTTGGTCCAGCACAACCAATGCGCTGAAAAGATTCCAGAAGCACACTGTCATAAGTCTCAAGATTTCATCCTGGGCGTGGGAAGCAAGATGGAATTCACCAAAACCTAAGGACCTAATACCATTATAGGGATACCATTGGAAAAACTCGGGAACAAAAATAGACCCCACTCAACCATGATGTTAGGGGTTTTTGGATTGCGAGTTTCTACAAGGCAGTGCCCTATCGTTAGGTAGGTTCGTCTGCGACTTATATATTCGATCACTCTATATAGTTTCATGGTTTTAAAAACGAAATCTCCAACTGCGGTGCGTATCTGAATTTCAGTGAGTATCATCTGGGTTTGCTTCGGCCAACTCTATGGCAATTTTGGTGAAGAACCACATAGCTCCTTTCATAAATGCCGCTTTGAATGCAGAGCCAATTTCTGGGTATTGGTTTGGCTTCTCCAAACCCGTGTTCGCCAGTGTGAAGGTCTTGCACGTAAGAATGATCCTGGGACTCTGGCTATTTGGAAACAAACAAGCTGATGTCCTAAACATGCTTTCATAATTTGGGGGTTTTCCCAGGGGGTTTGCCCATTTTAAAAAAAAATATATAAGGTAGGGTGCCACAATAGGAGACACCATCCCACACACATATTGTTTTGAAGATCCCACCAAACATCGATTTGAAGGGCTTCCCATATGAAAATAAAAAGGGGAACCCAACCAAAAATAATCACATTAAACCTTACCAAAGGACCTTTCTCGGCGGGATTGATCTTTGAGGTCTTTGGAAAAAGCCCTCAACTTTTGAGGCATCGTCCCATCCCCATAGTAACCATTTCGGAGCCAATATCCCAACGCACTTGCATAGAGATCCCTCAAAGTCCCCAAGTATAGGAAATGCATCGGGTCATGGAAAACGGTTCCCAGGTGCCATCCATCCACGCACCTCCATGGAGATAGAGGCCTGGTGCCAGCGACGTAGTCTGCCATGCCTGGGACGAGCTGCATGGTGGGACATGTAAATGAACGAATGGAAACTGTAAGAAGCACAAAAATCCAAATAAGAGTAAATACATATATATATATACATACATACATACATAGATACATACATACATACATACATAGATAGATAGATAGATAGATAGATAGATAGATAGATAGATACATAGATACATAGATACATAGATACATAGAGAGAGAGAGAGGGGGAGGAAAAAGTATGAGATATAGACATTCAAAAAAACAACACATAAAACATTACCACATGTATAATGCCAATGAACCAATGGTTGTCATTCGGTACCCTGCAGAACCATAAAAGTTCTTGTAGTTCAACAGCGGCTCCCAATTCTTGTGTTGCTTCTGAGCTAAGCAAGCTTCGCAGATCAAACTATGTTGGTAAGACCTTGGAAACTCGTTTGCATTTTTTCTAGCTTTGGCATCAGAACGGAACCCAAAGAAACAACTCCTCCATCCACCTGCAAGGCATGTCCCTGCCCTTTCCTTACGGAAGCCAAACAACTCCTCCCCATTTGGACCTGTCGCTGGCCACAGGCCGCTGGCACAGCTTTTGAGGGACCAGGAGAAAATCTGGGCGACTGTTTGGTTGACCTTCTGTTTGGTAGATACATCGTGCATTTGACAATGCCCCACAGTGACACATGGAAATTTGCAATCCCAAACGCTGCCCTGGGAAAACAGACTTCCAATGCTGTAGACTTCGTACTCAGAGTTTGAATAGAATTCAGCACGGTCGTTGTGAACACAGAGTGGAATCAAACCTTGACTGCAGGAGGGTTGAATCAAAAAATGCGTTTGGTGTAAAACTTAACCCTTTTATCCATTGACATTGCAAATATACATACCCATTACATCTATTTCCAGGTGTGAACCCATCAGATCATCAGTTAGATACAGGAGATCTCAGATAACCTGCAACCTGCAATCCCTATCAAAAAACACACAAGTATAATATAAGTCCTGAAGATAAATCCCAGGAACGGCTTTTCGGGATTGATGGATCGTTCAAACAGGGGTGGTCCCTCCATTCTTCAAACTGTTGGCAATGATCCCAGAAGTCAGCGATGGTCTCACCAGTTCGATGGCCAGTCATTGATCGTTCAAACTGCAGGGATCCGAAAGATAGGTCAAGATCATTATCATATGTCATTGATTCTATTTCTACATACATGTGCGTTTATATTTTTTATATGCACATACATACATACATACATACATACATACATCCATCCATGCATGCATCCATGCATGCATCCATCCATCCATCCATGCATCCATGCATGCACATATATTTTTAAGTATTTATATATGTGTGTAAAAGGTTTTTTGGGGGAAACAGGATTTAGACACATGAACATATCTATATCTATACATATATATATATATATATGCATATACATTTATCTAAACAAAATAAACTTATAGATATATATATAAATATGTGTATATATATATGCTGCAACCCTTAAATTCCCAGTCCTGAAAAGCACCAGCGTGCCACACAGCATCAAAGATCTCGTGCGGCAGGAGAATCGGAACTTGGTGAGGAACAGCTTCGGATTCGCCAGGAACCTAGAGCGTGGACACGCGGTGGAACCCCTAATCAGAAGAGCCTCGCATTACGCAATCCCAAGGGGCTTTGAAGATACAACACTTTTGGGAAAGAGTAAACATGTTCTGTTTGGCTCAAAGAATACAAGTTGATCAGGTGGACATGACCTCATGTGAAAACTATTTCATTACAGATTCACTTTGAGCCAAACCTGAAAAGTATGGTTTAATCCCAAGATGCATTGAGGAGTAGCTCAACAGTGAATGGCTTTAGGCGCATGGAATGCAATCCCTCTAACCATCGGTGTAGATCTCTTTCTTGGTTACTTTGGTGTTTCCCTCCTGTACCCAGTGACTTCAAGCTGTGTAAAGCTTCCGCTTTGGACCCATCAGCGACATTAGCACGGCTAATTTCGCAGATTTCTGCGATAGATGCCCGACCAGATCCAATCATTCCTTAGAACCCAGAAGTTGGATATTGCAGGTAAGCTTTCATAATCCCATTTGACCTGTCGAACAAAACATTGATTTCAAATTGGTGAATCTCTCAATGAGCAAGTTCCACAGGAGACAGTGGGGATAAAAAGCCCGTTGCATCTTATGGGAATATTTTTGGTTTATACACGCCCAGGCTCTTAAGTACACATCAGCACTTTCACACCTCGACATTGCCTCAAAGCGTTTGCTTCTGCAGCGCTTCACCGAGGTTGCCGTCTGACCTGCGAGGGGATGACATTGACAAGAAGACCCTTGGTGTGAGCACCCAGATACACCCCTGGAGACTGTAGATCATGGATGGGACAATCCTGAACTCCGGCTTGACTAGGGTATCGCACTGCATGTTTTTTTTTCAATCGCTTTGCTTCATGAATGGTCACGCTCTTTCATGGGAAATGCTCTAGTGGAGACAACCCGGCAATCACAAGGGGCGCTTCGGTTTGCGAAACAGCCTTAAGACTTCAGAAACAGATTTGATGTTTCAAGACATGATCAAATGCAAAAGATACATGCTGTGATTTGTTCTTGAGATAAAATTCCAAACCCATGTGATTGTCACCCCTGTAGACCACAGCTATCACTTCCGAGAAAGGCATGAATCCTGCTGGATTCCATCAGCAACCAAAATGTTTCAGGATTTGGCGTGTGCACTTTCTGCAAAACAACACATCAGAACTGCAGGGGTTGAGTAGGAAAGACATACATTGACATAGCACCCCAATTGATGACCAAACAGATATATCCAGATAGGCCCACACCACCGTCACCACGGCAATACTTCACAGCTACAGCCTACGGCCCCATGTTTCAGGGCGTGGTAGCTTTTTCAGAAGCCGCCCCATCCTTCCCAGCTCCTTTGTCCTTGCTTGACTTCTTCACCTTCTTCTTAGGCCGTGGATTCAACCCGCTCGCCAATGCCTTCGCAGATGCCTGTGGGTAAGACTGGAAGGCGCAGAAAACTTGATGCATTTGATATGCACGGGGCTTGGATGTATTTATGTATATATGTTGTGATCATATATTATGTATCTATCTATCTAGATATCTATCTATCTATCGATCTATCTATGTATGCATGTATGCATGCATGTATGTATGCATGTGTGTATTATGTAATGTATGTATGTATGTATGTATGTATGTATGTATGTATGTATGTATGTATGTATGTATGTATGTATGTATGTATGTATGTATGTATGTATGTAGTATGTATGTATGTATGTATGTATGTATGTATGTATGTATGTATGTATGTATATGTATGTATGTATGAACATATGTATGTATGTATGTATGTATGCATGCATGTATGGATGTATGTATTTACATATATCTATTTATATACATTATATATATATTTATTTATTTATGTATATATCAAAGTATATGCCTGATTGATTTAGTAATATTTAAAACATATGATATAGATATGATATTATATATATATATATTCACTCACCTACACAGGTGACACCCCCAACCCCCGGGGTTGATCCACACCTTGGCTTTTTCATACCAATTGAGCTTGTCCTCAATTATCTCCAAATACTTGACGTACTGATGTGAGTCCTGGACCTTCCTGGAAATCAAGTCAGCCAACTTCTGGTACGTTGTCTCCATCTTTGCTGAGAAATTCATGAGCTTCGATGCCAGGTCTCCTGTGTACTCAAGGTTCTGGAGTGAGATGGCATATTTTCTCGCCTCACCACTCTCCTTCAGGCAATCCTGCATCTTCTCCGTGATCACCCTGAGCTGGAAGAAGGTGGAGGCGATTGAGTCAAGAAGGGATTGGGCCAGTTTGCACAAGTAAATCCGTGTAAGACCTTTCAATGGGATGTTGCAAACTTTTTGGCATTACAGTGATTGGTGTCTTGTAGGGGTATTTACCTTTCCAGTCTACATGATCATCGAAATGGAAGTTTGAGGCTTTGACTCAGAGAAGGTCTTTGGTTCGGCAACCTCAGTCTTATCCTTGCTTGCCTTCTTCTTCTTGACCCCCACAGACTCTACTGGTTCACTGGTGAGAGTCTCAAGCAATTTCTTCTCATCTGCCACAGGCATCGACGGCATCAAGCCCGCTTGCAGCGGACCACCTTCCACCGTGAGACTCTCAGCCAGCTCTCGGTTGCCTTTCTCAGTGACCTTAACCTGAAGGGATTCACTGGTCATGTCCTCCTTCTTGAAGGAAGACCCCATGTTGGTGAAGTAGAAAATCTCCTGGCCAAAACTTGATGAAGGGATGATTGCTGCTAAAACCATGTGGGCACTGGATTTTCATTACCATGGGTAGATAATGCCGGTTTAATAGCTGAAGAAGTTGTGAACTTCGTTTTGAAACCACCCAAAATATATCTTTGTTTTTTTGTTTTCACCCCAATCCTCTTCATCCTTCTCAAAATCTTCATCCCATGCCCAGAGCCCCTGGGTGCGAAGACGTGCCATCAAGTCCTTCGCTTTAGCCTCGGGGTAAAGCTTCAGCAAATCCCTGGCCTTTTGTCCAGCCCTTTTTTTTGTCGCAGTGTTTCGGGTCTCCGCCTTTCGAAGGAGTTCAACTTCGACCCTTAGTCCGGTCGGTTTGTTTGTCAAAGAAGTTGAAAAGCCAATAAGGTGGACCCACAAAGATTTGGAAGACTAAACTGCAACAACTGGGGTGCTGAAATTCTACAAGTCAATCCCTACCCTGAAGATAAACACCTTCATAGAAACTTTGGTTCAATAGAAGCTTGTTGAATTTGGGGGGAACACTTGGGTACACCGTATACTTTCCGCATTGAAATTTTTATTCCTGGCTGCATATCCCATTATCATGGAAACTATCAACTTTTGTGGGGGCTTACGTCATGTCCCTCATTGAAATATTTCGATTGCAGGACGCAGTTCATGTTCCCACTAGCCCTTTTTGGTGGATTCAACATCATTTCCGTTTTTGAAATCTTGTCATGTCAAGAAGAATATCCCATTCTCACGCAGACCCTTTTTGGGGGGGTTTGCCATCATGTCCTGTGTTATCATTTAAGTCTGTGTAGGGGTTCACCCTTCATCTTCCCTGTGGACAAACCCATTTGGGGCGCTTAATGTTGTGGGCACTGGTTGAATTAAAGACAAGTGGCTTGGACCAATCCTCATTGGCAGATAGCCAGCTTCGAAACAAGTCTAATTTGTCTCGCTGGTAATGGGCCGCCAGCGATATCGGGAAACGTTTCCGGTCCAAGCATTGTCTGCTGAACTTGTCCCAGTCGCTCTTGCAATTAGAACCTGGGCCAATGGAAAATATAGATAAACATAAATATATGATTGCATGTGCATGCACACACACACATATATATATATATACATATCTGTATTTTTGCGTTTATATATATATATATTCATATGTGTGCATGTATCCATGTCTTACATATCTTTGCACACATACATGTGAATAAATCCATACATACTTGTGTATGTATATATATATATGTGTGTGTGTGCGTGTATGCCCGTGTATATTGATATTGGTTCCGCTAATGGGGGGTGGTCCTTCTTTGATAACATCTATATGCAAATATAGATATATACACATGTGAATATTGATTGGTGGTCTAATGATGATCAGGAGCTGTTTGCTTCTTTGACTGGCACCTGCTTTTCGCCCACCAGCCGCTGCTCTTGCACTGCCACTTGCAAAGCAGCTTCGTTGCCCTGTGGGGTTGTCGTTGGCTGCTGCTGCTGCTGCTGCTGCTGCTGCTGCTGCTGCTGCTTCTCTGTGTCAATCTTGCTGTCTGCCTGGTTTGCTGCAGCTTGGCTTGTGTCCTTCTTTGCTTGGTCTGCATATGGCACCAAGGCATTGACCTGGTCCTCTATGTCCTCATTGTCTGAACTCCCAGTGTCTGAGCTGTCTTCTGATCCTGTATCCTCCTCCTCACTGCCTGGTTCATCAAGCTGGTCTGGCATGTCACTGTCACTCCCTTTGTCATTCTCTTCGCTGCTCTCTGAGTCCGGTGGGTCAGAGGCTGCCTCATCTTCCCCTGGGTCGGATTCATCTCCGTCTGATTCCTCGCCTTCCTTCTCCTCATCTTTCTCCCCACCTTGTTCAGCCACTAGGCATGTCATGTGTGCTTCAACTTCCTTGTCCAATTGCTCACGGGACAGGTGCTGCAGGTAGTCTGCGAACTCCATGTTCTTTTCCTTGGCTTCCATCTTCAACTTGGCCAAGGAGTCCTCTGAAGCCACAGAAAGAGTCGGAGAAGAGAGGCGTCGAACCTTGTCAGGGGGCGTCGATGGGCTTGTCTCTGCTGGTTGCTTGAAGCTGATCCTTCGGGTAGGAGGCTCTGCTGGAGGTTGGTTGGACTGCTTCTTCATAATTGAAGGCTTGGCTGCGGTGCCCACTTGGGAAGCCTCAGGTGTCTTCTTGCTGCTCTTCTTGTCTTTCTTTGGCACAGGTTCCGGGGTCTTCTTGTGATTCTTGGTCACCTTGTCGCTGCTGCTGCCCTTTGCTTGTTTTTCTGAACCCTTCATATCTCTGTCCTTCTTGTCTGTCGTCTTCTTGCCATGTTCCTTCTTTGCCACCTTCGAAGGCTTCACTGGCTTCGAGACCTTCTGGGTGTCCTGCTCCTTTTTCTTATGACTTTCGTTCTTTACTTTCCCCTTCTTTACACCTTTGACAGGCTTCATGTCCTCCTTCTTTGTACTCTTTCCCATTGGTCCAAAAACCGGCAAGTCTGAGCACTGGATGGGCTCAGGCCAGCGAGGACAACTTTCTCTATGAAAGGCAGAGTGGTGAAGGGAAGGGAAATGGCAAAATTCCAAAATATGAGTTTCAACTATGAAAGATTTCAACAAGTATGTATACATATATATATATATATATATATACATATATATATATACATATATATATAGATACCCCTGGATTTCGTGGCTGACTGGATGATTTCGCGGCTGCCCAAATATAATCCCAGATATAAATGAATAAATACATTTCGTGGCTGAATAATACATACAGAACCATGTGGTGTGTTCCTGGCTGATTGGCCAGACAGAACCAAGTAAATATACTCTAACAAATGGCTACAGATATTACAGATCTATCCCTGGATGTTCAGATTTCACACATCGTGGCTGTTCTACACACCACGCGGCCAATTTCTCAACACCACGTGGCTGAATTTTTCCATTTTTGGTAAAAAATGATACAAAAAGATCTAAACCACATCAGTGTGGACCAGAACATGTTTGATATCCACTTCCATGTACATCCCAGCGCAGCATGGGTGGGGCGCACCTTTGACCGCATGCTTGAGGACGAATCTTCCCATCTTTGGCCTGCAGATTTGAGGCATGGCAAGACATGGCTGGGGGGCCATGGGTCAATGGCCCAAGGTGTTGGAGAGAGAAGCATTTCAGATTCCTTTTCATTATAGGCACAATATTTAGACATGTTGCAAAAATTTGGTTCCTGATTGGCATTGTTTTCCGAGCTTTTCCCCAGCCACGCGTTCAAAGTCGAGAACACAAATGGAACAAAGTTGGGAGTTCCAACTTGCAAATTGAACAGGATTGGTTACCCTGGCTCTAGGAGTGCAATTACCGTTAAGGCCTTAGGCCAGGTAATCAAAAACACTGTCAAGCTCTGCATATTTTATCCATGCAGCGCTGGCCCGTTTGTTTTGCGGAATGAGCTTGTGGTTCTTCAGGTTTCGCTTCAAAGTATCCCTAGCTTTTTTTCGCACATCGCCCTGATGACGAGTTCTCAATCGAGACATTGCCTTCCCAAACCTAAGAGGGCATCCCCAACACTATGGCAGGCTTGGTGGATGTGCCTTGTGGACACTACTACGAAGAAGCCAGGGTCCCCAGCTTGATGGATTTCCCTATTTGGGGGATAGCAACATAGCATACCCATTTGAAACACAAGTGCACCTGTAAGTTGTGGGATAGAAATCCTTTATGTGGTGACATGCAAAAGACAATCAATTGGTACTAGGGACGGCAAGGGGTATGATTGGCTGCTTTTCAACTGAGATCCACCTTTCACCCTCTCCTTGCCGCTCCCGTCCACATACTTCACCACCATTTCGGCCGGTGGTATCTCTGGTAACCATTTTGGTTTGAAGCAAGGCAGCTCGTTGATGATTTCCTCACCTCATGCCAGTTGGAAAGGGTTACGCAGGTGTAAGGATTCAATAATGCTTTTGTTCTCTGGGATCGACATAGCCATTCCTCATAATGGGATCCACATGCTTACTCAAAACGAATTGTCTAACAACAGATTTCTTGAATGGAGCTAGTCAAACAGATTGATAGATTCTTGTGAACAGAGAAAACATCTTGCAGTCTACTAGCTTGGAATCAAGTTGCTTGCATAGAGCCACGTGGGTTTCTGGGATGCAGCACCATAGTCTCTCATGTTGAAGCAATGCTTCCGAGTAGGGATTTTCTTCAGGAATTGCTGGAAAACTGGCAGCTCTTCCATGAGTGACCCTTTTGGTTGTTCTAAACACCAAAAGCATCCAAGGGCGTGACAAATCATCATGATAATCAATGTTCTGGCCGTAAGTACGTTTCCAGCCCTCACGCTTTGGTAGCTCTCTTCTCCCATTGGCCTGCTGGAACTTCTTCGAGAAGTGCCTCTATTCCTTAAGTTGCGATATGGTTGGATGGACCAAGGAACCTTGGTTAGTGGCTGATATATGATATCAATTCTATATCTACTTATATATATATACATATGTATGTATGTATGTATGTATGTATGTATGTATGTATGTATGTATGTATGTATGTGTGTATGTATGTATGTATGTATGTATGTAATGTAATGTATGTATGTATGTATGTATGTATGTATGTATGTGTGTATGTATGTATGTATGTATGTATGTATGTATGTATGTATGTATATATGTATGTATGTATGTATGTATGTATGTATGTTTGTTTGTTTCTTTGTTTGTTTGTTTCTTTGTTTCTTTGTTTCTTTGTTTCTTTGTTTCTTTGTCTCTTTGTCTCTTTGTTTCTTTGTTTCTTTGTTTCTTTGTTTCTTATGTATGTATGTGTGTTTGCATGTTTTTGCATATGTATATGTATATGTGTATATGTGTATATGTATGTATGCATGTATGTATGTATGCATGCATGTATGTATGTATGTATGTAGGTAGGTATGTATGTATGCATGTGAAAAACAAAATATAAACCATAGTCCTTTTGGGGAGTCGAAGATGGGACAATCCGTGGTTATGCTTCCAAACAAATATCATCCTTCAACTTTGAAATTATTGACTCCACGGGCCATCCCAATATCACAGGTCTAGGATCACGAACACAAAGCTACTGCACACTGGTGCAGCAAGCGCGCCGCTCCCAGGCTCGAGTCTGCATGCGTGATAGATTGCTCCAAGGAATCCTTGGGGGGAGAGTAGGTCCATGTTGCTTCCACCAAAGGCGATGTCCATGGCCATAACTTTTCGGCCTTCCTGCAGGGATGGGAAAGTTTTACTTTCTTCTACTGTAATGATTTTGAACTTTGAAGTTTAGCTGAAGGTGGGAATGAAGCAATGTTTGGGCAAACCCCGGTCCCATTGTTCAGCCCGGGATACAGCGCAATCCCCAGCAAAAAGCTCAAGGTGTTGAAGCTGGTTTGAAGGGCTGAAGTCCAAGAACGACATGCCAAACACCATGCTGACAAGCATCGCAACCACCTTGCTTTCAGAGAGGTATAGGAATTTGGGGGACCCTTCATGCAGGTAACGTGTTCTCCAAAACAAAAAGGTACAACTATGTAATAGTTGAACCTATTTCCGGGGAACCCTTTTCTATGGGACTAGGCTTGGTTCTTCTGCTAATCCTTGGCATCACTTTTCCCACATAATCAGTTCCACAATATATTTTTGGGGGCCATCCAGAAACTATCTCGTGTGATACTGCGTCATTCCAGAAGCAACCGATATGATAGCATATCTCCTAATACCATCCCCATTGATTGTTGGCATTCCGTGATGGGTTATCCAGAAAGCATCCCCTATGATAAAGGGCAATCACAGTACATAGGTATATAACCATTTTTTAATTTTTGATACATACATATATATATATATTCATTTTATGACATATATATGTATATATATATATTCATTTATGACGTGTATATATATATACATATTATTGATATTGACATGTATTTATACATATATGATTTGTACAAACATATGATATGTATGTATATAGTATATATGATATGTATGTATTTATATTTATATTTATATGCATGGTAAAAATAATATATATATATATATACATATAAAAGGTATACATAGCCACATAGCCACTATTTGATATATAACACACATAGATATGTATATATATATTGCATATACCATTGTATTTTTTTACCAGGGTATCCGACCCCCCCTTTGGTCAAGCCACAGCCGGTGCCTTCATTGTGCGAAGGCCTGCCAAGATGCTCCTCTTTTTGATTTCCTTGAAGTTCATCTTTTTGCGAGGCCGGTCAAAGGAAGGGGTCTGACTGAGGGAGTCTTTGTAGACGCGCTCTTTGGTAGGAACCCTTTTTCCCATAGCTCACAACTATAATTCAAAGACCAAAAGCAATGAAGCGATGGGGCAAAGAAGGGTCTCAGAAACTCGAACCAGAAATTCACTGCAATATTTAGATATCTATTCAATGTGCACAAACAATCATGTGATTCTGTCTTGGGTCCCCGTGAATGCTTGATCTCTATTTCCTCACATGATCACCAAATGCTTCGGCTAGCCATCCTAACATAGACTGCACCATGGTGCTTTGCACCAACCAAACCCAGCACTAGAGCTGATGTAGCCCAGTGAACTGCCCACTACTTCATGCGAGGGCAAGCACCCTTCCACAAGACACTGAACCATTTGAATGCTCTCGGATTCTTGAGACATCAAACATTAGACATTGGAGCTGGAAAGGATCTCTAAGCCACCCCCATGCATGACAAATCACCATATAATCTAAATAGGAACCTTGGAACCCGACTGCAACAAGCCAGCTGGGCTTGTGATCAGGAACCACCTTTAACTTTCAAAAACAGTTGGACCGCTATGGGAGCACCCCCGCTTTGGTGCATGCGGAGATCCAAGCGTCTTTAATTGTCGGGAATTTGCTCCATGTGATCTGGCCCTTGTTCGAACCTGACTTGATGTAAAAGGCTTTCGATCGAAGCAGAACCTCAATCCTGCTCGCTCCACGGTGGACCGTGTAGCTGTGCGCACCCTTGTTGTTGCCAGACGGCAACGCATTCTTCGGCAATCCTTTCAGCGAATACCCATTGTACGAGCGTCCCTCCTAAGGGGCAGTGGTTCGGGGTGGGGGGTGTCCCATTCCTTTGACTAAATGTTCCTTTGCATTGATGAAGAACATGTTTGTTCCATTTCTTCACATAGAATATCATAAAAGCATAATGATACTGGCATGTCCTGCCCATGAAATTTACAAGTACAGGCTGGAACTTATTGTTGTTATTTTCCATGGCCAAATCCTAGTGTACCACAAACATTTTTTTGGGCCAGATAGCCTCAGATTCACTCTGTGGTTCATCAGGGCTGGCATGAGGAACAACAGCTTCTTCTTCTTCACCCCCATCATCCCCCACGGATGGCTCTCCACGGGGACGCTTCTTATGGGACCTGCGAAAAGAAGCCTTGTTCTTCTTGCCTTTCTTCACCTTGTTCTTCTTAGCAGCGCTCTTGGGCTTCTTCTCATTTCCCTGAAGGGGCGTCGGGTAAATTATATAAGGACAACAAAATGGCATATGCACCATACTGGAGATTTTACTGCTCATATATTCTACAAGTCATTGGTGAGGGCCAGGTTCAAAGTTACTTCAAGTATTTCCCATGAGCTAGGGGTTTGAGTACAAACAAAATGTTGGGAATCGATGGCCTGCGCTCCAACCACTGGGGGTGATGCGCTGAGAAGTTCAATTTCAACTCGCCCCATCCAGTTCGGTTTCTGCAATGAGGGAGGTAATTTGATGGTGTCAAGTGTCACAACAGATCTCCGATCCTTGTCTTCGGTGTCCTCCGTCATCCCCAAAATGTCGTGGATCGATGCAGCACCATCTTTGGCCTGAGGAAAGGTTTGCTGGCCAAAGTTACAATGCGGAAACCCATGTTTGGAAGTCTAAGATGTAGAGGCTTACAATATTCACACATTCCTCGCCTACAAGAACCGATGGTTTCTATTAAAACAAAATGTATTTTGTATATTTAATAGTTATGTCAAAACAGTTATGTGTATTTCAAAAACACATTTAACACACGCGATCACTTCTTACTCGGAGAGTTTTCAATGGGCATGTTTTCCCAACTTAGAGCTATGAGTTATGACCATAGCTTGAAACAGTTGTACCTTATACTGTGCGGTACCCACTTTGGATTTGAAGCCCATCACGTCACTTCTCAGACCTCCTGACAGGCCATGCTGCAAGTTTCTGCTGCCGAGTCGCATGGGGAGAAGGCTTGGCATCCTGCATTTTCAAGAGCCGCCTCGCCTTGGATTGGTTTGATGTTGGAAGAACGATCTGTGAAATGGGTGTGAGATGAAAGCCATTGCAAAACAAGGTGAAGATTCCGTTACCTATTCAACTCTTGACCTTAAACTTTTAAAACCTTGAAGCCTTGACCATAAAATTGCGACGGGATTTCAAAGCCACCAAGATACATTGGGATCCTCGGGATACTCAGACTCCAAAACATGGGGCTCCAGGTCTGCAGTAGACGCTCCACGCTTCAAGGCCTTTGGGGCGAGTTCTTGGTTCAACGATAAACTACTCATAAAACTTCATTGGGCCCTACATACAGAAATTCATTCTTATGGGGGCAAACAAAAGCCCCAACGGAAATCAACATTTTAGGGTTTGGAAAGTGAAACATTAATGCATTGGTACTAGGGGCTGGCGGTTCCATAGGCTCACTCTTCGGGTTCTTAGAAGTGTCCCTGCGAAAGTAGGCTTCCATGTCCACATCCTGAGAAGATTGGATGGTTGGATCTTGATTTCAAAAAACATACCTATACTCACCCCTAGAAAAAGTGTTACCCCAAAAAATAGTGCCAAATAAATTCCCAGCATCGATGCTGTCAAGGAATTCACGGAGTTTCGGATCGGTAGGGTCCTTGGGAAAGTGGAACTGATGGAAATTAATCAAGTCAACACTACTGGGTGGAATTGATCTGAAACATGCGCCTAGAATCAAACTTATTTTGATTATAACACAACCTGGGGGTTATACCCAAGGCTTACCTATATATATATATATACATACATATATATATACATACATATATATCATATATAATAGAATATATATATATGATATTATATATAATATAATATTTGTTTAATATATATATAAGATATTATATATACAATATAATGTATAATATAATATTTATTTAATATATATATAATATAATATTCATTTAATATATATATAAATAATATACATGTATATATACATATATATATATATACCCCAAGTAAAACTGTTTTGACAGACTGGTTGTGCCACGGTTTTGAAAGTTCCAACTTGACCCAAATCCAAGAAGCAAGTGCGCCGTGGCCAATCTTGTGAGTCTTGCGAATCTTTGTCGAAGAGCCACAATCCTGCCGGCACGCGCTTAGATTTTATTACAGTAACTACCTCGAACCTTTTATTGTCTTTTGGAGGTGGGAAAGCGAGGAACAATTTAAAGGTCACAGAACCTATAGCCAAGCAGCCACCGCATCAGTAGTAGCAGCACGCTTTGGAGGGGTCACCAGGTTCTCACCATCATCCACTCCTGCATTCTCAGCCTCATGGTCGCTTGGAACATCAGCCAAGGGAGCAATGTCATCACCCAGAACCAAAGTCGTGCCATTGTCCACAGAGTTCTCGTCAGACTCAGCGTCACCCTCATCACTCTCATCACTGCTAGATGCCGGGGGGTACTTCTCCGGGTAAATGCCAAGCTGATTGTCAGGATGCATCTCTCGGTTGAAGGCAGGGTCAACCACCACCTCAACATCATCGCTTCCCTCACCATCACTCTCGTCAGACTCCTGCGCGTCCGTACTAGCAACATCATCATCACCATGTTCATCTCTGTCAGAGACATTGCCATCATCAAGTGGTGCATCGGACTCATGCTCAGAAGCTTCGCGATCAGCCTGGGGACTCTTACATATGGATACATATGGGAAATTTCTCGTTGATCAACCCTGCTATGTATTGTTGGTCAAACCCGCTTCAAAACAAATGCGTTTGACAAAATCCCCACCTCCCCATCAGCGACAGCATCAGGCAAGCCCTCCACCCGCACTGCAAATTGCATCGCTCGCGCACGCCTGGCCTATAGGGATGACATAGGCAACACATAGAAAAACAAAGGTTGCGGCAAATCAAACAGGTTGCCAAAAAAAATCTTGTAAGATACAGCTGAACTTGACCCCAACAAGAAACTCTGGACATCGGAGATGGTCTCAGAAGGCTTTTCAGTTCTGTGACGCGAGGGTGGTGGCTCGTCAAGCCTCGTTTGCACGTATGGAAGTTGCTGACATGTGTGACCACATTTTTTTTGGAACGCCAAGATTGCAAAACAAAGCACAACAAAAATACAACAAAAACAAAACCTTTGGAAATTGAAATGGATCTAATCTGATAAGAAGACACTGTTGCGATAGAGATATCGCAATGCCCCCATAAGCTTCTTGCAGCGGCCGGCTTCCGTGGCTGCTTGGTTCACCTTTGGGACATCTTTCAGCACGAGAAGCTTGAAGCCAAGTAGCCTGTCAAGATACAGCCAAATGTCCGTCAACAGGATACCTCCTGGGACGACCTCTGGAAAACTCTCTGCAAGGGGTCGGATCCAAACGTAGTTCGCCGCTAAGTCCTAGTGCAAAAGGTCTTTACGCGTTTGCCACGCCAATTCCCACATTTTTTAGTTGCGCCCCTATATCAATCAATACACATCCAACGTTGACTTGATCATGTGTTTTGAGAAAATGGGTCCTTGAAGCTGGGTCGGTGGATGTCAGAAGCTAGCATCACCAACTGCGACCCACCAAAGTCTCCGTCAAAGATGATCTGCTTGGCACGGTCAGGCATGGAGGCCAACATCTTGCGAGCCACACCAGCCTGGGAAGAGGCAGCCAACCCGGTGGCTGGTTTTGATTTTTGGGGACATGAAAGAACTGTTTGTTTTGAACTGGCACCAGGTGGTTGTCTAATGTTTTTGAATCATTGAATCAAGGAAAATGTGGGGAATGGAAGAATATAGTTGTGCTTTGAACGGTTTTTTTGGCATGTCATAATCTTCAAAAAGAAAAATGAAATAGTAGTGCAGTCTAGCCACCACAAATGACTCAGTCCAAGGAACTGTACCAGGGCCTTACACGAATGGTTTCCACTTGGGATCATCGATTATAAGTGCAATATCCATTTTGGTGGCAAACCTATTCAAAAATTAT